TGGTGATGAATAAATTATCATAATAATTTTTCTAAGCTTTTATAATAATTATATATTAATATAATAAAATAAATATATAGTAATTTTGTATAATATTTTGTAAATATTAAATTTATTTACTTACTTTTTTTACTGTAGAAGTAATATTTTTATTATCTAATGAAATTTTGTTTTCACTAAGTTCTTCAGCTTTAAGATTTTTCAAAAGATCTTGAGCTGCCAAATTAATTATATGTGCTAAACAGCGTACTCTTTGATTATCTATATCAAAATTAATTTCATTATAATCACAATGATTAGCAAAATATCTAAACATAGTATTATTATTAGATGCATTATCAGGCATAATTGCTAAAATCTATATTAAAAATAATAATTTATTAATAATTAAATATATATTATATAAATAAAATATATTTTAAAAACCTTGTTTAAAAGTTCAAGATTATTTAATATTTTATATAATATATTAGCAATATTTTCTCCTAAATATACACCTTTTATTTGAACAAATTCAAGAGTTGTTTGTTACATATTCCAATTATCATCGATCCAATGAGCAATAATTCCCAAAAAAGATTCAACTTTAGGGAGGTTCAAATATCAAGAGTAATAGAAATTTTGCAAGATAAATTCTAAAAATAAAAATAAATATTATTATTAAAATTTAAAATTTAAAATTATAATAAATATACCTGTAATTTATTAATAATTTCAATTTGCTCAGATTCATATTTTGATATAATTTTGTTTTTAACTGTATCTCCAGATACGAGTTTTGCTTCATTACTTAAATATTCAATAATCCTTTTAAAACTAAATTTTTCAACAACTCTAAATGATTGATTATCATCAACTATCCAATCAGTAATAATATCAATAAACTCCACTTGTACAAATTTCTATAAATAAATAAATATAAATTATTAATATTTATATTATATATTTTTTTTTAAAAAAATTAATAATTAAAATTTGAAATAAAATATTTAAATTTAATAATAATAATTAAAAAAATAATATTAAATTAAATTACTTTTTTTCCTGGTTTATTTTCTAATTCACTTAAGTCGATTTGATGTTTATTTTTAAAATGTAATCACATTGTTCCAGTAGATTTATTTTTTGGCTTAGCATAATCGGTTCTAAAAAATTAATATATTAATTTAAAATTTAAAATAATAAAATTTAAAAATAAAACCTACGAGCATAGTTTGCATTTAAATTTATTAACATTTTTATCAAATGTATAAAATTTATAAACAATAGGTAAATCTGCTGAATTATTAAATTCTTCAATAATAGTATTATCAAAGGTAAAATCTTCAAACATATTAATGATAGATTGTTGGGAATCTTGATGAGTAAGTTGTGGAAAAGTTTGTGGAATAAAAGAAAATTGTTGAGAAGAAGATTGTATAGATTGTTAAGAAGTAGATTGTTGAAAAGTAAATTGTTGAGAAGTGGATTGTTGAGAAATAGATTGTTGAAAAGTAAATTGTTGAGAAGTAGATTGTTAAGAAGTAGATTGTTGAGAGGTAGATTGTTGAGAAGTGGTTTGTTGATATGAGAAAACTTGGTACAAAGATTCTAAAGAAGAATGGGTTGAAGTAGATTCTTAAGACATATTGAAACAAAAAATTTATTATAAAATAAAATTTAAAAATCAAATTTTATTTAAAAATAAATTTATAGCTACTATATATATAAATTTTATTAAACTATATAATCATTATATATAATAGTTTATTAAATTACAAATTCTAATTATCAAATTACATATTTATAACTAAGTTGTAATATAATATTAATTATACAGTATTTGTACACACATGTGTATTATTTTAAACTTTTATTTTTTAGCTCAAAATAATACCCGTGTATATACGCACCTCAAATATTGCATATACATATTCAGAAATAATACATAGAGTTTTGAATTTATATGCAGATACGCATTATTACATGCAAAATATAGTATTTGTAATTAATATTTGAAAATTTTAAAAAACAAAAATAATTAAATTCGAATTACAACCCAGATTTAAAATATGGATAAATAATTTGGTAAAAGTAAATTTTCGAGAAATGCATAATCAAAATTGTCAAAGAAGTAAAGTTTATAATATCAATGAACTAAATTAATATAATTTAATTTATAACAGTAGCCCAGCTTATAGAATACTTCAATGACATTAGTAAACTTAAATCACACAAGAATTAGTATCATCATAACCCGAATTTTGAAAGTACTTGATTGAATTTGATTAGAATACCCAAAGACTTTCAATGAGCCTATTATATAGTACTAGCAACTGATTACATTAAATAACCTAATTCAAAATATCTAATAAACTGGATGAATGATTTGGTAAAAGTAAATGTTCAAGAAATGTATAATCAAAACTGTCAAAGAAACAAAGTTCATAATACCAATAACCTGAATTAATATGAATTTGATTCATAATTGTAGCCCAACTTATAGAATACTTCAACAGCCTCAATAAACTCAATTCACCAAGAATTAGTATCATCATAGGCCCTAATTTCGAAAGTACTTAATTGAATCTGATTAGAATACTTAAAAACTTCTCAATAAGCCTATTATATAGTACCAACAGCTGATTAAATTAAATAACCTGATTCAAAATATCTAATGAACTGGATGAACAATTTGGTAAAAGTAAGTTTTTGAGAAATGTATAATCAAAATTGTCAAAGAAGCAAAGTTCATAATACCAATGACCTGAATTAATATAAATTTGATTCATAACAGTAGTCCAGCTTATAGAATACTTCAACAGCCTCAGTAAACTCAATTCACCAAGAATTAGTATCATCATAGGCCCTAATTTCGAAAGTACTTGATTGAATCTGATCAGAATACCCAAAGACTTTCAATGAGCCTATTATATAGTACTAGCGACTGATTATATTAAATAACCTGATTTAAATATCTAATGAACTGGATGAATGATTTGGTAAAAGTAAATGTTCGAGAAATACATAATCAAAACTGTCAAAGAAGCAAAGTTCATAATACCAATAATCTGAATTAATATGAATTCGATTCATAACAGTAGTCTAGCTTATAAAATACTTCAACAGGCCTTAGTAAACTCAAATTACACAAGAATTAGTATCATCATAGGCCCTAATTTCGAAAGTACTTGATTGAATCTGATTAGAATACCCAAAAACTTTTCAATGAGCCTATTATATAGTACCAGCAACTGATTAAATTAAATAACCTAATTCAAAATATCTAATGAACTGGATAAACAATTTGGTAAAAGTAAGTTTTTGAGAAATGCATAATCAAAATTGTCAAAGAAGCAAAGTTCATAATACCAATGACCTAAATTAATATGAATTCGATTCATAACAGTAGCTCAGCTTATAGAATACTTCAATGGCCTCAATAAACTCAATTCACCAAGAATTAGTATCATCATAGTCCCTAATTTTGAAAGTACTTGATTGAATTTGATTAGAATACCCAAACACTTCTCAATAGTACCAGTGACTGATTAAATTAAATAACCTGATTCAAAATATCTAATAAACTGGATGAACGATTTGGTAAAAGTAAGTTTTTGAG